GTGAATTTTTTTGTAGTGAGCTGTTCATACGGATACCTGATGCATATGATTACTACGTCGAGCGTTATAGTTATAGACATCAGTACTACCTGAAAGTATCTTCTCACCTTTGGGAGTCATTTCTGACTAAATCCACTGGTTCATAAATGAAGAGGCAAGGTATTGGTAAAATTCCTAGCTTATAAAGAAAGGATTACAAGAATCACATGGGTCGGATTTGCTTATTATTCGTATGCTTAAGGCAGCCACTACATTAGAGGCGTTTTATCCTGACATGAACCATTTAACGTGCATGGCTCATGGTATGCAACGTGTTCCCGAAGATACGAATGGTCATTCAATATGAAACACAAATCGCTTTACAATAAAAATGTTTCGCCAAATCTATATTTTTGACGCAATTCTTACCAAATATTATGCACTTGTCCTATCTACTTATTAGTTTTTCCTACCCCATTAGCGAGGATATTTTTCTTTGACCTCGAAGTCAGTTTTGTACTGTTTTTACCTCTTCGTTATCGTTGAATTTGGCGGCATGCAAATCTCAGATCCGATCAAACATAAAAATATAAAGGGGTAATGTCAGAGCTGTAAGAAGAATGAGCTAGAAGCTCCAAATCCACTTTGCCGATAGTGTCCAGCGTCAGTTTTGCCCTACAAGGTCGAGCCTTATCTTGAAAAACGAAAAAGTATTTGCCAAACCATACCGGACATTTCCTGTTGAACGCGGACTTTGTTTCGTTTTCAATCCCGTCTGAGTAGATTACTCTGTTAGTGCGTTGCGTCTGCAAATAATCATTGCAGATTAACATCCCGTCCAAACTTTCACCTTTAAAATTGAAATATTTTTGAACTCTGTGCAATGGCAAAGCCTGTTGACATTGTGATGAATGCTTCCATTCTATTGGAACACGAGATTGCAGAAGGTTGGTTTAGCTTGTGCTAAAATATAAAATGAGTTGTGTAAACACTTATTCGACGTTCTCAATCAATTTGTCTGTAAGACGTCGAACTTCTCGGACTCAAGCTCTTGAAAATCCCTCTGGCCGAACAAGAAAGAAAGAAACCTTACATACAACATTCGAACGATAATTGTGGCCTATAGAGGCGTTTACCGAACTCGTATTTTTTTTTCTAAATTTCGAACATTATTGAAACTTTGTCAACTTTGACTCGGTCTAGCTCGTAAACTATTAGAGCTAGAGCACTGAGATTTTTTAAAACAAACTGCCCATAACTCAGAAACTATTCGTGATTTTCAATTCTAGTTGCAATATATACGGCCCAAATTATATGTAGTTTCAAAAAAAAAAACTAACATGCTACATACAGAAGATATATGTGGCCTCTACAGGCCTATTTCGAAACTCGTGTTTTTTTATATAGATTTTGTACATTATTGAAAATTGGCAACCTTTGACTTGCTGTAGTTCATAACTTAGTAGAGCTAGAGATAGATTTTTATAATAAAAAAGAACTGTCAATATTTAACAAACTATTCGTGATATTTCAATTCTGATGGCAATGTCTATGTTTAAAAGTTAATTCATTTTCAGAAAAAACCTTCATGTAGAACTCGGACGATAGATGTGGCCTCTAGAGACGTTTTTTCGAAACTCGTGTATTTAATAATTTCGAACATTGAAAATTAGTTAATTTCGACTCGCTATAGGTCGTAAACTTTTAGAGATAGAGCACTGAGATCTTTTAATACAAAAAAACTGCACATATCACAATCTATTCCTGATATTTCAATTTTGGTAGCAATATCTATGTTCAAAATTTCACGTAATTTCAAGTAAAAAATTGTAATTTTTGAAAAATGAAAGAATAGAGTAATGGTTCCCCGGGATACCCCACTTAATCGACTTGCTCGAGAATCCACATTTGATCGACTTGCTCGAGATCCCTCACTTGATCCACTGGCTCGTGGATCCTTCAATTGAACCACGTGCTTGGGATCCCCCACTTGATCGACTTGTCCGGGATCCCCCGGTTGATGGACTGGCTTGGAGATTCTTTATGTGAATGCCTTGCTCAGGGATCCTTCACTTGATGCCCGGGTAAAAGGGGGCCTATTTTTAAGTGATATTTTTATTATTACGAACGTACTAACACTACTTGAGTTACACTTTTATAAAGCGGGTCCGGACTTAGTTACGCTACTGGTGCGGGTATTTTGCTTGTCTCCTGTAGTCTTTTCTCTGTATCACATTCGTAGAATCTGAACTGCTGTTGATATATACGACCAGAAATCGAATTGTGTTTGAGCCGTTTGTAAATTAGTGAACTAAGACGTCTTAGTAACACTTATTATTGTAATTTGTTGTCCAGAGCCCAACTCACACATCAAGAGAGCTGCCAATGGAAAGCGATTTAGGGAAGCATATTTGGCAAGTTCAGTTTTCACGATTACCGGTCTAAGCCGTAACTCTGTCAAATGCACTCAATTGCGTGCCGCAAAAACTACCAAACCCGTTGTGTTTAGCCTTTTTTTATTGTTTATGGGGACGTCCTACCCAAAAAAATTTTTGGCGGCATAACCCCAAACATTAAGCAAAGAATCGTAGATTTTTCGATCTTACTCCAGTTTCTCAAACGTTACAATACAATTGCGAGACCGAATTACATATTCTAGATTACCTCCTGTATTATGTAAGTACTATTTTATTGTTGTGAAACATTCCATTATCATTTTCTAAATCTGATTGTGAAACTGCCACCGGGTTGTCTAATTGCGGTATTAAATGAATCTAATCTAATTACTAGGTCATTAAGAGTGGGATTATACCCAATGTTAAATTGATATTATTTGATAGCCTTAGAAGAAAACAACCAACTTTGAATCAAAATGTAAAATTTACTATAGTTCAATTTTCAAGATACTCAAACACACTAAATGGTTCATCACATTTTTTCACAATCACACTAAGCATTACATTACTGTAAACAATTTTAAGGTTAATGATGTAGAGGCAAGTGCAAACAAATGCTGGGATGTGAGGAGCATGTTCATAAATTACACAATAACATTTATATGCATATATTTGAATTAGTAGCTATCAACAAAAATTACTCTGACAAATTAGTCATTCAATTTATACATCACAATACTTAACTACAGAATATGGCTGAAATTTCAACAGTCAAAACCACATATTTATTTTTTACTTCGTTTCATATTCCACTTCAATCTCTTGCACTACATCTCTTGGAACGATAGAAATATCAGTATATTTAGGAATTACTTCTTCTGTTTGAATTGTTATAGTTTTCAATGCATCACTTCCATCTTTTGTTTTCATTTCTTGAGATAAAACAAGTGCATCTGAACTCTCCGGGGCATCTCTTAATTTTGTGACAAGCTGGACATTCCCTTGGGAACAGTGACTCTCATGCATTTTAAAGTTGACTCTTCGGTTAAATGTTTTGCCACAATTGTGACATGTTACACCTGCAAGAAATAGAATATAAGTAAGAAGTATAATATAGTAATAAAGGAAACTGGTGGACAAAGACGGGTACAAATTCCATGAGTTTTATGTTCAAGAAATCGAGCGATATGAGTGAGATTTTTTAAAATTGACCATGTGTGCAATTATACCTCTTTAACTACGTCTTACGTTGAATGTTTTTTGTTTCCATTTAAGAATAAATTAAATTTTGATAAATACAATAATATCGGGACATAAGCTTATATTCAAATATGTATTCGCTTTGCGCGTGGCAAAGACCAATTTTAGTACACCTTGCATTGTGTACTTTCAATAACCAAAGTGACTTAAGAGGATACGAAAACGGTACTAAAATATAACATATTGATCGTATTCCCGATTATATGTTAGACGAAGCTGAGAAAAAGATGCCGACTCGAAAAAGGTTCTAGCAAATGTGAAGACACATATAACAGATAATATAATATTTAACGGCAGATAAATCTTGAAATGATTGATTGTCACATCAAAATAACGCTATATATTTCACCGCAATAGTGCCTAAAATTTGCCAACATCAAAAACCAATATAACAAGCGGGCAGAATGAAGACGTACCACACGCCCGGCAAGGTTCTAATGATCGGCCTACACTGCGCACTTCCTAGAAGAACATCTGGCAAGGAGAAATATCCATGACGGAAGTCGTAATCATTGCCTCGCCTTGCCTTCTGACATTCACGAGTGCTTTGATTACGTCGCAAATCCGTGCTCAGCGCTCTCCTATGCACCCACCGCTCTATACCAAGTACCCAGTGCCCACCGCTTATTTTTTCTTGAAATATACATACATTTAGAACGAAAAAAAACATTTAAAAATAAAAATGTGTCTAGAAAGGCATTTACGTCATAAACAGACAAAAAAGGCAAAATTAAAATTTTCCATATCATTTTTTGCATAATTTATATACGTATTGCTTTTAAATATTTGTATTATAATAAATAGATATTTTCTTTCATGTCTAGTTATAACATAAAATTAATTCCTGTACTAAACGGCAGTTATAAAGCCAAAAGAAAAAAGAAATTTCATTAAAATCCGCCCCCCAGTGATGTGTAATACACAGCAAAGCGAAGCATTCACTAGTTGCGAATAAACTGTTGCTTTTTTTTTGTTTTAATATAAATACATTTTAAAGGAAAAAAAGCATTTAAAAATAAAAATATGCCTAAAAAGGCATTGTCACAAAGACAAAAAAAAGCAGAATAAAAATTTGTCAGAATGTTTAATTTTCCATAATTTATATTATATTAATTGCTTTAATTTATAATTAAGGTTTAATTTTAATTTATGTTATATTAATTGCATTTAAATATTTATATTAGAAGAATATAGGCATTTTGCTGAACATCCGATGCCTAGTTATAACAAAAAGAAAAAAAACAAACTAAACGGCAGTTGTAAAGCGAAAAGAAAAAGAAAGACGTTTCATATAAACCCGCCCGTAAGTGATGAGCAACAGCGAAGCGTTCACTGCAGTCGCGAATTGCGCCGTCGTCGCGTACCTTGCGTGCCGTTGGCGTGGGAGCGCGTGTGCTTCATCATGTCGCCCTTCTGCGTGAAGCGCCGGCTGCAGATGGGGCAGGCGTACGGCCGCTCGCCCGTGTGGATGCGCATGTGCACCTGCAGGGCCTCGCGGCGCCGGAACAGCTTGCGGCACAGCTCGCACGCGAACGGCCGCCGGTCCGAGTGGATCCACGTGTGCTGGCGCAGGTTGGCGCTGCACCTGCCACGCGCACGCGCACACACACGTTCGTTAATGAGGGGAAAACGGGGCGTTTAATCACTACACTGCCACGCATGCTGGGAGCTTAGAGCTTGTCCCGGCTGGGGCGGTGCCCCGCCGAAGAAAGTAGGTGAATTCTCGGCTATCCGGGCTGACCCCAGCCAACGACGCGGCGAATCTCGGATAGCCAAGAATTCATGGATTCGAACCGCGGAAGCTTACGTATACAAAGAAAGTAGGTACGCCGTTGACTTGGAAATGGGCTAGCGACGCTAATTAAATTGTCCCTATATGTTCTAACAAGTACATAAGTAAGAATCCACTTTTTCATTCACCTTATCTATACTGTAAATTACACATCTGTTCCACGTAGCTCTAGACATATGTTAGGCGATTAAAAGAACTTGCAACTCTGACTAGTGTTAAGACCGCCTTCACATGGGGCAGTGGCGTAACGTTCGAGCCCAGGGAAAGGAGTTCAGAGACGCGTTGGAGTAGTCTAGTGACCACTGGCGGTGGTGCGAACGCGCGATTACGCCCTTCAGGCGAATACCTCCGTTTAAACCAATGCTTTGCTAGCAGACGCGCCGCTCGGAAGCGGTGTAGAGTGGAAGGGATCCTAAGCTCAGTGGCGCGAACGTGTGATTGCGCTGCTGGTTGTGGGAGTTCGCTGTAGCAACGTGACTACGCCGCTCGTGTGGATACCTCCATTTAAACCAATGCTTAGCTTGCAGACGCGCTGCTTTGTGACGCCGCAAGATCATTTCTCAAAAGAGCCCTACCTGAAGCCCAAACCGCACTGTCCGCATTTATAGGGTCGTTCTCCTGTGTGGATTCGCTCGTGGCTCTCCTTGCCAACCTTCGAGTTGAAGCCCTTCTGGCAAAATCTGCAACAAACACAAAACAAGACGGGCAGCCCATCAGGCGATTCCAGGAACACCCGGACCAGCAGATCGCGTGGTCCTCCTTCACGACTCAATAACCTGCGCTGAAGATTGAATTTCTATTTGTGATGCGTCAACTAGTAAGGTCCTAAGTCCTGTAAGTGTAGTGCGTGTTTTTATCTCGAGAGGTGTCAGTGATCTCTCACTAGATGGCGAGATCGGCGTCGACCTACAAGTCGACTTGCGGGTTTTTCCCCAACCATGATTCTCCCTCCAGTGGGTCAAGCTGTTCGCTATCAACGGGTCTCCCGACATGTCTGGTAGTGTAGTGCACATAAGTATAGGTGTGCGTAAGGGGGTGAGGATAGGACAAGGAAGAGGAAGGAAAGATCGCTTGCGGTTCGTTTGTTAGAGTACTGCTCCGGTATTCGCTTAGCGTTGATCGAAGAAACCACGGAAAACTACCGATCGGAGTAGCCAGCCGCTAGAATTCTCCCCTATACAGCTGCTAAAATCGAAGAACTTGTAGCTCTCTGGCTAGTGTCTAAAATCCTACCACCACTGCGCTGAAAAAATAGTCCCTCAAGTATTACCCAAAATTTTACTTAAAATTATTGAATGCCGGAAGTTTATGAAAATATTAATTTGAGGCATTACCTCGTATTGTGGAAAAGGCAACCGTGATACCCAGTACACAGCAATCCCGTAAGCCTCATAAGTTCTGTGAAACTCCTTCCAGTTTATTAAAACCTTTAACATGCTTTGACTATCGGAGAAGTTCAAAATACAGGATGTGCTTTGTGGGGAAAGTTTTTACAAACTTCGATAAATTACGGATAAAACATGTAAAAAATTGGAGTTAGTTTCGAAAATAATGGCGTTTAAGCGTTTATGAAAATGGAGAATTTTGAGCGTATTTTAACAGAAAAGTTTTGAGTTTTCAAGAAACTTGATTATATCATTTGAAGCACTTGTACTCACTCATGCAAGTTTATATATAAATCGCCGGTAATATGAATATCAACGACGTGAGAGAGGTATTAAAACAATATTTGTGTATTTAAAAAAACAAAGAAAAGAATACGACAAAATGGAGTTATCATCTACAGTGCAGTTAGCACTGCCCTTATAAAAAGTTTAAAGTAAGTATTTGGAGCCGTTTTTAAGAAAATTTCCTTTTAATATTTTTCAATAGTTAACGTACTTTACTTAATATTGCTAGCAAATTGCTAAAATTTTCAAAAAATGTACATGGTGTTAATGAAACAACTGTTCTACTGTATATTCATATCTTCTCCATTTTCATTTCAGTCACCTGCCAATGTTCGTGAAGTTGACGTTTTCCTGTGAGCAGCATGTAGTTAATGTTTTATCAATGTAAAACAACCATAACATCACCTCTAAAATACACAATGAACAATCGAAAGTGTTCATCGTATTTAATGCATTCACTATTGAGGGTTCAAGGCATAATTACTGTATGTTGTTACATTTCTCACGAAATGGGTTTGAACCAAAATTCTCTTGGCGCTTTGGGAAACCCGACTTTTTATGTTTACTCTTTTAAAATAAGTTTATTTACGTCATCGAAATTTTTAAAAGCTTGCTTAATTATCACAGCAGCATCCAACAAGACTTCATGTTGCCATAAACTATCAATTTCCAACCCTCGAGAAACTATAATCTTTTCTACATATGTATTAGTTATTTGACGTAGCACTATTTACGTTGAATTTTAAGCATAAAATGATCCGTGATTTCACAGTATTTTGCGTTATTATTGAAATATCTGGGATGCAGATCCTAAAGCTTATCCCGTAAGTCACTTGGAAAGTCTTCAAACGTTTTACAACTCCAAAAACGAAGGTCCACTTCTGTTGTGAATTCTTCTAGATTTCATCTGTCCATTAGAGGATAATGAGGAACAGTCAAGTTGGGTTTTCCTGAAGAAATTGTTTCCAAATTCTGCCAGTTCTCTTCGGCAATACATGTTTGTTTGGAAGCAACTCGGATTTTCACTTGGTTATGTACATGCTGTGTTCTCGGAAGTGGATAACTGGACCGCAGAAATATCTCTTCTTTATTTTGTAATATTGCAATGACCGTGGAGTAAATTATAATATTCTCAATTGTTTTTCCTTAATTAAAGTTGGAATGTTCAGTGAGCGGATTTTCTATACATAAGACCATGGAGTTAACACAACTAGATATGGCCACTTTACGTTGCAGTTAGATTAAAATTCCTGTTCTTCGATTGGGTGATTCTGGGTGCGTCAATAGGTGTCATTAATCCAGTAAGTGTAGTAAATGTGTTCAACGTGGGAGGTGACGATCTCCCCCCCGGGTGGTGAGATCCGGCGCTAATGTACGTCAGCTTGAGGGGATTTTCCCTAACCAGGTATCTCCCATGAGCAGAGCTACAGCCCTGCCGGGACAAGTTCTCCGCTCACGACAAGTGTGATAGTACATGTAAGAGTAAGTGTATGTAAGGTGAGAGGTTAGGAGAAGCAAGAGGAAGGAAAGATCGCGCTGTCGAAAACTACTGTTCTTCGAGATGTACGGGTTCCAGATATTAGGACCATATTCCAGTACTGGGATCAAGAGCGTTTTGTAAAACCTGGTCAGCGGTTTGTCATTAATCCTAGCTTTATTTAGGAAGGAGGAGATGCTCAAAACTTCTTTCATTGATTGTTTCTTTTTTATAGGTTTCGATTGTTTAGGAAGCTGAAACTCATTGTTTTCTTGTTTCTGATGTGCTTTTTGTTCAAAATATTGCTTATCCCGACCGAGATTCGAAGTTTCTCTGTCGAAAATTCGCCGCTTTTCCGCCCAGCATTACATAACTTTCTCTATAACGCGGCAGCGAGAAAGAAAAAATTAAAACGGAAATTTTAAAAAAAAAGCTGTCTAATTGTGTATTTACACACACACACACACACACACACACACACACACACATATATATATATATATATATATATATATATATATATATATATATATATATATATATATATCAGGCCTGTGAAACAGTTTGAAAGAATTGGTCGTCTCGATAGCTTAGAGCCACTAACGGTTTTTATAACTGTCCCTCAAGGCCCTACGGTGGCATTGTCTCTGTTCTCGCGTCTTTCTCGGCCGTACCGCTAGATGGCGCATGATCGCAACCGTGCTGAATACGGTTCGGATCCCGGTCAGGGTGACCACTTTGAACAAATTTAATTATTAAAATCCATTCATTAATCAAAATCTTCAAAAAATCAATAAAATTACAATTTAGGTGGTGAGCTCTAGAGACTTTCCCCGGTATTTACACGTTGCTATTGCGAGGGTTGTGTCTTGAATGCTTTCCAAACCAGGAATATGAATTTGTTGGATTTTGAACTATGAAGTTCGCGTGATTTTTCCTGTCATAATCTATGAGTCCTAACCACCTGCTTTTTTATTTTTTTTCCTCAGGTGTTATGAAACGTATACAAACAATATGTATTTATTCTGTGGGTGCTGTGTTACTGTGCATTTGATGTGCTCAAAGGGCATAACTCCGCATGTTGATCTATTTAAGTGTGTCAACTATTGTAGAGTCAATTTTCTTCTCTAGATTGTCTTGAAGTTCTCTGATGTCAGGATTGTTGGAGAGTTCCGTATCATCAGCAAATGTTCATACTAGTTATTCGATGTCTAAAATATCACTAACGTGTAAGCTGAAAAAATAGGGAGAATTTTGTCTTGCAAAACATTAGTAACTTTTAGTTTGAAATCACTGCAACGTAAGGGAAAGGTTATATTTTAAACTCTTGGTGCTCTCTTGGCTCAAGGCGGTTTCCGTTGAACCTCGTGTGAAATTTGTTACGACAAAACGAGTTTGCCTGCTTCACAGGGCTAGTCCAATTGTGGCACTTGTAACGGAGGATTACTCCAAAAATTGTAAATGTCAACGGAAGATTAGTGCACTCAACGCTCCTTAAGGAGCGAGCGTCTTTATTGACGCAACAAATTAAATAATGCTGTGATTAAAAAAAACAAACAATAACAAATTAAATAATGCGGCGAAACTCAAATATATCTTTTTCAAAACGCTCTATTTCCCCACGGTTTTTTGATAAATATTGTGAACTGGCATTTTAGCTCTTAACTTTACAGCAATAATCATAATAGATAATCATTTAATCAAAGGAGATAGAAAGATTTACTCTATCCTGAAGGCAGATGTTCAGGTAATAGTAGCAGAATCCGAAGGCAACTTACAGAGGGCTATTTTTGATCTATCAAAAGTTGCACAGGAATATTCCATGAGAATATCAATAAGCAAAACAAAATCCATAACAATGTAAGGAAAGGAACAAAGAAGAGTTAAAATTGAAATGAATGGGGAAATAGTAGAGCAAGTTAGATAATTCACTTACCTAGGAAACAGAATTGATGTATTAAACCAGGAGACATTGAGAGAAAACTTCAAAATTACTACAGAATGTGTGGAATCATTAAAAGACACTTTGGAAAGGATATGGATTCTACCACAAAATTGAAGCTTCATAACATCGCAGCTAAACCAATGGTTGTATATGGTTCAGAAACATGGATAATAAAGGAAAACAATAAGCAGAAAATACAGACAGCACAAACAACATTTCTAAGGCACCTCTTAGGAGTCACAAGAAGAGACATGTTGAGCAACAAGATCATAAGAATAAAACTAAAAACCAAAAATCTAATAGAAGAAATTGAAGAATCACAAAAGATAAGTAAAAGAACACATTTATGGGATAGAGATAATAGCAGGAAATATAAACCAATTGTAACCAGAGACATTGGAAAAGAGATGGAAAAATTATCATCATAATACATAGAAGTTGCAGAGAGTTAAATTAAGTTTCAAATTAGTTATTTGCTATTCTTCAAATAATTAAAAGTAAATTTGAAATGTTTGGACAGATTTAATTTTTCACCACAAAAACCAAATTTTGGCATTATGACAGCATTTCTTTTTCTTTATTTCACTCCCCAACAGAAAAATACTGGTTACATCCTAAGGACCCAACCCCCATTGACCAGTGTTGTAATAAAAACAAAGTTACAGAGAATATCAAATTACTTGACAGGTACATTTTGTGATTTCAGGAGGAAAATTTAGGTATCCCCCCTTTTTTTCTTTTCTAAGATGAACCCTTTCTTTCGTGTACATGTCATGCCGCAATAATGTTAACTATGACACCAATCAGTAGGAAGGAGGGGAGAAAGAAGAAAGGAGGAGGAGAGGAGGCGGAAATAAATTTTGAGTTACCTAGTTTAATGTGTATTCAATATTCACTTAACGAATTATGTATCTCGTATATACATACTATTAACTAACTTATGAACACTTGGTGCCACAGGAGCCTAACAAAAAGTAGTTTCAACAGATTTCAATGAGTTGGTTGTTGTGAATTAGGTTTGTTTTTTTGGGTGGGGGGATCTAAAAGATAATATCACTGGAAAAGTAACACATGGTCAGGGCTCAGATTCTGATGACATCATCTTTTCATTGGTGCATTCTAGACTTAGCTAACTTTTAAATGAATGTTTATCATGATAGAAGTTTATAATTATTGGGTAATTGTTGCTGTTTTGCAATTTTTAAGTCATTTTTCTGGATCTTTACGTAATTTATACACATTTTATTTCCTATTCGTGTTTTTTAGTTTGTAAATATTTCATGAATTTAACGACGTACTAAAACCAAGTTTTTATTGTATTATCAGTTCATAACGAAATTCACTACTGCTGTAGATTCTGTTTTTTGGACTCTCAAAATTACACAGATCTTCGGTAACTTCCTCGACCTTTCAAAACTAATGATTAAAAGATTGGAGCTAAGAATTACATTTCCTCCTAAAATAAAGACTATACTGAATATAACTTTATATAATTACATTTTATTTAACATTGTAAAATTTCATTAAATAAATAAACATATTCATAACAATTTTTATTTTAATAAAAATTAGGTCATTTTCCTCTTATTTTTAAGTCATTTACAAACAATTTTTAGGTCATCAGAATCCGAGCCATGCTCATGACTGTAGTGGCTTTTACACAAAAGCCTACACCAGAACACATTGAGGATGAATTTATGCAGTTAGAAAATGAATCATTCTATATGCCTACACTATACCTAGAATTATGTGAATAGTGATATTTGTTTGCGTACTCTAAAGAAAAAAAAGTTTCTTTGAATAGGTCTCACCTGCAAACATGAGGGCGTTCTCCTGTATGTAAACGTTGGTGATATGTTAGTGCTGGTTTTTGTGTAAACCTCTTTTTACATTCTTCACACTGATATGGTTTAACTCCTGTATGTGTACGCATGTGAAGACTCAGAGACAGTTTATTTGACAGAAACTTGTTGCATACTGAACACTGATAACTGTCAGAGCAAATTATATTTTTCTGATCTTCTGTATTTGATCCTTCTTTCTTGATTCTGTTCCATTCATCATTAGTGTGACTCTTGCTGTGGTTCAAAAGTCCAGTCACTGTAGGAAATGTTGCCTTGCACACTTTGCATGAAATAATTTTCTCAACTGTGTGAGTCTTATAATGCTTGGTAAGGCTTGTCTTTCGTATGAAACCAACAAAACAAATTCCACATTGGTATGGTCTGCCACCTTGATGGGCAGTTTCATGTTGATTGAGCCCCTGTTGAGTCATAAATCTTTTAGGACACTGTGAGCAAGCAAATACCCTTTCTGTGTTGTGTTTCTTTAAGTGTTCTTTCAGAGGCTGTCTGGTGTCAAATTGCTCATTACATATTTCACATTTTGATGACTGCACTTTGACTGAATTATCTTTAAGGGTGCAATTATGCTGACGCAGAGTGTTTTTTGAATGAAAGCTTTTCCCACAACTCGTGCAGCACCAAGGTTTAGTTTGTGGGTGCTCATTTGCCATATGTGTTTCCAAACTGCAACCATGGATGAAACGTTTGCTGCAAATCAAGCACGAGTATCTTTTCATTCCTTTTTCTATTGTTTGATGAATTTGTAAGGAGTATTTTTGTGAAAACTGTTTGCCACATTCTTCGCATGTAAATACTTCACCATTTTTGTGTATTTGTTTGTGTACAGTCAATTTGAATATATCTTTAAATTTCTTCTTACATTCCTTACAACTGAAACTCACATTTCTGGCTATTTTTCTATTTTTCTTTGCAAGTATCCCAGATGATTGCTCTTTCTGAGAAAATACTTTGTGACCATGAGTTCCGCAAGCAATTGGAGTACAAACAGGAGTTTTACTACTTTGCACCATTTTCTGCACAGCCTCCATTAATTTTTGATTCATTCCATTGTCCCCCAATGTTTTACAAAGTTTTGATTTTAGTTCTTGAGATCCAGGTGCGGTATCAAGAGATTTATCTTTGCCAGATGTTATAACACAAAATTCAGCCACTGCTGCTACTTTCAAATTGTCCAAATCAGAAACAGTCTCTTCAGTGCCAACATCTTTCTACAAGAAAGAAAACACATATTACAACACATTCATGTTTTTGATATTATGATTGAAATGTTCATTCACTGATAACAATAATTAAATGCAAGTATATTATTTAATATGCCTATAATAACACTAATGAAAACATTTGATAATAATGATAATGAGATTTATAATTATTCAAAATATAAGTTTCAAAAATTGAAGTAGTAAAATAATTACTTGTGTAAAATGTTTGTATACGTCACAACCAAAGTTGTTTTCAATAATTAAAGTTGATTTGAAAATCCTGTTTGTCTAAATGAAATATTAAACACAAGCAAATACATCTTCACAATTTTTTTTTAATGAATTGTAAAGGACTGTTCATCTTCCAATCTTTTTTTTCAAAATTAGATCCTTCATTAACTAAAAGTTCATGTTTGTGACAAGATTGCCTCTGTTAATGACCCCATAAAGCATTAATTTTGTTTTGTTTTTGTGTGTGTGTGTGTGACCTAGAAGCACATTACTGTTTCGAACATTTGATGAAAAGTTGCATCAAATGTTTATGTTAAACTGACACTAAAAAATGAGATACACTGGAAAGTAGTAAAAAATCATTTAATAATTCTTTTCATAAAACAAACAACACATTTTAAATTTGCTCCAACACCACAAGATTGGATTTTTCTCTGGATGAGATGTAAAGACGTGCCTGAAATGAAGATTCTTCTACCTTCAAATCTGATCTTGATTCTGGTGAAGACTGATCTTCTGACTGGTTCCTCGATTCTCCCAGCTTCTTCTCTTTCAAATATTGCAAGGCTTTGGCAACCTGTGCTGACATGGGCAATTGTACTCCATTTGAAGTTACTAGTTTCATAACAACAACCTTCTTCTTCACTACAGAGGTTTCTTGGGCCTGATAGAGGAAGTTTAACCCACAGTGTACAATATGTGTGTGACAACTAGTAATTACAGGGAAACGCATGTATGTCACATGACATAGAAGAAGCAGTTTATTAAATGTGAGGTTGGGCAAATTAAAAAAGCATTACTGAAAGCAATTACTGGGATCATCTGAAATCCATTAAAAATTCTACCCCAAATCTCTATTATTAGGTATGTAATACATTCCATGCAGAAAAAATGTACAAGAAATAATGCACTTTTAAATCCACTTTTTTTAAATTTCTTTGACCATTTTGAACATAACACAGTATTGCATGCACTAAATTATACCTTTTACAAGATAATATCTCAGATATGTTCGGAAATCTGATGATAAACAAGGCCACTCTTTTAACAAAATGCGTTTTGAATTAGTGTTAAGTATTCATGTATCAAATGTGCAAATGCTTTTGTAACTGGTCATTATCTTTGTTTATTTCTCATGAGCATCCAGCAAGTAACTATTATGTCTAATAGGAGAAATAGAAAGTGACTCAAGATAATTACTACCCTTTTTAAGCAAATTCCTATTTTACTCCTAATAAACATGCTCGAAAATTGAAAATGAATGCATTTCATGCCCAAGCAAAACCACAGAAACATATTTGTAGTGCCTAAAAGTGCATATTTCACCATTACAACCTAAAAATGCTTATTCAACTTGTAAAAGCGTTAAAACGCCTTTGGTTTAATTGAAGCCTAGGACAATACTGTTGAACATGTTCTGATCACAATATTTTACTGAATTAAAATATTATTAAATTAAAATCCTAGCTTTACATCAAAAGAGAAACAGATAATTAGTGTATGTATTACATGGAGAACCTTTATATAGGAGACCGGAACTTAGGCAAAATACCATGTTTCAATCTTATTAGTTAGCTGGATTTTTAAAACAAATGAAACCAACAGTGAATTTCTAGTTTTTCAATAAATGTCTGTTTTATAAAAAAATCCCTTTTTTTTGCCCAAATTTAAGCTTTGTTATTCTTGGACATTTATATAAAAATTAATTAGTATATTTTAAATGTGAGCAGTTTTATAAACATTGAGAATGAAATATTTTCTCACACTTTACGTAAAAAAGAACAGATTTCGTACATTTCTTTCTCTTAAAATGCTCAAACCATGCAGCCGGTAATGAGAAATAAAATTATAAAAAATTGTTTTCCCTGACAGCTATTTTGGCAATTTTTTATTTTTCAAGTGAAAACCTAACAATTTCCATTCTCTGCTATCTTCTCAAAACCAATGTCATGGGAGAGAGAGAGAGTAAAGTTAGAAGATACAAAATTAAGACTGCATGTTGACAAATGTGACTGACTCTATGATATGTGTTTGCTGTCATTTTATGAAAAAATACACTAAAAAATTCATTCCAAGTGAAACAACTGCACAAATGTTACCTCAGTCAATGTTACAATGTAGGAATAAGAAAAATTCAAGATGAAACTAAAAATGGGTACCTCGAAAGCTTTGTGATTGAAGAGAAAATTTGGAAAGAAATAATAACGAACGCTACTGAATTTCAAAATATTGATATTTAAATGGTAAAGTGATCCAATCACCAATTACACACTGAGCTGCCAGTAGTCTAGAAAATCCCTTGTGTACTAACAATTTCTTGAGCTTTGGCAGAATGGCTTTTGAGCTTTTGGCTTTAATGATCGGTACATAATTGGATTATAGTTTGAAACTTAATATCAGCGGTCCACTGAATTCAACCCGATTTTCCAAGCAAGGGCTCATGCAACACCTGTGACATTTTGTCAGCATAGATTGTCAGTTGGCATTTGTGACGAGGGAACTACTATATAAACGAAATTAAAGAAACCTCATGTTTTTGCCAAAGAAACTCATAATGTGTTTAGAAGAAAACAAAATAAATACAATGTTGCTGAAAAGTGTAGAAACTTAGTTCCCTTTTGACCTGCAAAAGACGTTACCAATGTCCATTTCCCAATTACGAATGGGAGAAGTATATTATCTATGCCAGCTATGGCCTCTGAACTTGGGCACACATTTTGTTTTCTTCCTGACACCAAAGAAAGGAGAGCTATGAAACTCAAGGAGGAAAAGAATCAGCCTAGGAATGCTACATCTTGTTTAACCATTTGTCAGCATTAGATCCAGAATTACAGTGCATTACACTACACATTGTTCTTACCACTGTTGTGGTGGTCAGAACAGAAATTGTATTGTAATGATTCTACTGATCTTTATGGTGCAACATGTGATAAATCTTCAAGATATAAATTATTTTTCCCTTTTAAGTGGCCATTTTTATTTACCAAATGATGCAGACTTCTCGCACATTTTAAAAGCATAAAGGAAGAAGAGATTCATGTACCCTCCAGTGAACTGTTAATTGTGACTTAATTATTAAAAAGAATGAATTTTATTATGCCTTTTTGAGCTTGTTTTAGCAGGTGTAAGTGTCATTTTACCTAACTATTTTAGTGACTTATAGTGCCTAAAGTTCCGATCTCTCTTTGAAATGAAATTCTAATTAATTATATGCTGCCTTTCAGAAAATGTATTTCCATCTTCAGAACTTACAACTACAAACAATGCTTTAATTCCAGTTTCTATTTGTAGTTACATGGCTTGAGGATGAATATAAATTTTCCATTGTATCGGCAAACAATGAATTCAAACTACATCCCATTATCCTAGCACCATGAGCCAGCCATATTTTCTGCCCATTATTCCAAAATAAAAAATTATACTGATGCGCATTAAAATATACCATTTAGTGTACATAAAATCATTCTTGGTGAAAAAAAGTCATAGCTGTTTTAAAATTTCTATTCTTATTTTATATATAATGCTCATGTTTTAGGAAAATACATTTTGAGTTATGTGAAGATGTTATTCTCATTTTCTTTATACTTCATATTTAGTGAAAGTCATATAAAAAATTATGTGACTTTCTGAGAACCTCTTTTAGGTGCTTAAAATAAGACAATTTAGAACCTACATGTTCGAAATTTCATCATTACGATGCTCGTTTTTGAATCATTCATCTTTTGGTTGTTGAAGATATATATATGAGCTTATCAGAAGCCGCATTGATTAGCTGTACACTAACTGAATGTGAGAAAACGAAGGATTAAGTTCACAGTTTGTAAAAAATTCAGGTTTATTGAATAAAAAAAATTAATATTTTGCAATGATGTCTAATGTAATATTTGATTACAATATAGGTATTGTAATTAAAATATTGATCAGGAATGTTTTTATGGAAAAGTTAAATTTTCAGGATCCACTAAAAATCTTTTAGTTGATCAACTTACCCACTGACTACTTTTCTGTTTTGTTCCTAAGCAATTTATGATGATTCTTTACATCATTGTAGACAATATCATTATCATTTGTTTTATGTTTTTATTCGTTTCACTCAGAACTACTGATTTTTTCCCCCATTTATTTCCTTCGCTACAATATTACCACTGCACAAAGCTTGTGATGCACTGGGGGAGCTCAAACTCATCATATCCTGATTCTTTGCCTTAGATACTAGATGGGGAGATGTGTGTATAAATAGAGCATTGTGATTGATTGTATTCAATGTTGGTAGTTCACTTGTAAAATGACAAATACTCGGAAAATCTTGATCTGGTTTATGTAAAGCTTCAGTATTTCAAGACTAATCCAGAGCATTTCTACTCTCTTTGCTTTATTTCCATCAAGTACCTATTTTGTACTCTCAAACCTATTATTAACAGCTTTAATACAGAGAAATAAGGTCACAACAATTGTGCAAAGAAGTCTGAATAATGGTGGAATAAAAATAATTGTTGTTGGGTACACTGCTTTCTGATATGTTAAACCTCTCTTAAAAGGACTTTGTTATTCTGACCTTTAAAAATAAATAAAAGTAA